GAGACTAACCTGGTCATGAGATTCGGGGTGCTGCGCTTCATCGACACCATGAACTTCTGCAAGGCTGGGTTGGGCGGCCTCATCGAGTCTCACAAGCGTGCTGCTCTCAAGATGGTGCCCCTCGGTGACAGGAGTGAAGTCTTGGCCCTGGAGCGTGCTTTCCCGCTGACGGCTTCGAGGCACCCCTTCTTGAAGAGTGCTGGTGATGGTGTCTGGCCAGCGTTGTTGAGGAAGCTGCCCATGCCGTGGGATTACTTCGTCGACTGCGATGACTTTGAGAAGCCCCCTGTGTGGCCATTGGCCTGCTACCACAGCAGGCTGTCCGGCGACTGCACCGAAGAGGAATACGACCAACTGCAGAGAACTTCGGACTTCATGGGGTTCAGCTGCTTCAAGGAGGTTTTCGACACCTACCTGGCCCTTGACATCACGGCCTACGCTGACCTTATGCAGATCTTCAGACAGCACTTCTTTGAGACGCACCACCTGGACCCGTTCCTGTATCCTTCGCTCCCATCTGCTGCTTGGGATGCTGCGCTTCGGAGCGTCGCGCAGCAAGGTGGCAGGCCGTTCCGGCTCATCACCAACTTGGACGTCTACAAAGACGTCAAGAAGGCCATGATGGGTGGATTGTGCGCGGTCTTCAGACCTCGCAGTGAGGCTAATTTCGAGGGCATTGAGGGGTATAACGACCGCGTCCCTGCGAAGCGGATCATGTACCTTGATGTGAATTCGATGTATCCTCACGCGATGACCAAGTACTTGCCATGCTCAAGCGGCGAGGCTGTGACGCTCCCAGAAGGCGAGGACGAGAAGTTGAAATGGCTTCACGACATGCTTGATTCATTCGACCCTCTTGAGGACTGCTGGCAGACGGTCTACCTGGTTTTCGTCGACTATGACTTCCCCGAGGACCTTCACGACGGCATCGACTTTCCGCCTCCTTGCAGAATGGCTGTTCCTGTTGAAGAAGTTGGGCCCTACACAAAGGAAGCTGTCCGAGGCCGTAGGGCGACCGAGAAGCTGGTTCCTTATCTTGGCCTCCACGAGTTCGAAGGCGTCCACATCAAGCGCCTGGCTTTCTT